ATAAATATTTCCTTAAAACCCCTAAAAAAATTAACATATGGATTCTCATATTCCACTTGATCCTCTCTGCATCTTCGTACTTTGGTTTTCTTCCTGCAGCCCTCTGATTGGATTCATTATTGCCGCCCCTTGGGCCTGCGTTAGCAGCGGTTTTGTGTGCGCTATGAAGCACAAAAAACCATCCGCTACGCAGGCTACTAATACGTGGGGAGAGTCGTAGTGAAATTAAAATGTTTCGCCAAAATAAACAACGTAATTACCTTCCCAACGCTCAGGACAGTGCGCTCTAACCTTGTGGACAACTGCATTCCGGATAGTGCTTCACTTTTCTTGCGTATGCCAACGGATGCATTTACGCATTTAGGCGTTATTGCGTTGTCGTATTTATCAAGCGTATGAATAAAAGGTGTATGTTTCCTAAGAAACTGTGGTGTTGCGTCAGTGTGAGAGTATAACAGGGTAATTTGGTATTATTAACTGAGTTGATAACGTAAATTAGTCACCGTAAAGTGTTTAAAACCTGACGTTTCGAGCGTTAGCCCTTCGTCAGAGCGATGGACAATTTAACTAGCGTAGTAGCACAGTGCACATTTTCGGTTTTAATTCATTCGATACCTTTAGCAGCCATTGCTTTTTCTCAAATAACAGGGCACCCAGCATTTCCACTTATAAGGAAACGGTAATCCAAGCGTTCCGAACGTATACGGGTATCTAAAGGCCAGTAATTTATCCGGTGAGTTGGGAAGTGCGACGTTCACTTCCTGGAAATAGAACTTTTTGAATGGTACCACCCACGACATGGGAGAAGTTTCCAACGTATGATGGTATTTCAGAATGAGATTGTCCTTTGATGAAGGAGGATAATATTTGCGTAGCATTGTTTCAGTTTTGCCAGAAATGTAACTTGATACGTTCACTGGTTGCCATCTCATAAAATCCACAGTCACATCCCCTAATACTGCAACCAAACCATTGGCTTGCATTCCAAGCTCACGCAGTTCACGGAAAGCTTCCGGCTTCTCGGTTTCCAAAATATAAGAAATGTCGGCATCGTGATCATATGGCAAGATGTCTCCCATGCGATAGGCGCCAAGCAGGGTTCCTGAATACAAAAGAATCGAACTTTATAAGTGAAGTAAATAAGAGAAAGAGATTCGATTAATTAATGAAAAAATGATTGAGTCAATAACCAAAAAAACAACAACAACAACAACAAGAGATCGACGAATAGACGGAATGACCTTGCAAATATGGACCCTTTAACTCTGATAAGTGACCGTGACAGAACTTCTCCTTACAACATCAGTACAAAACCAAGCAGACTGGTAGTGAGTATAAAAAAAATATCAGTTTGGGGATTATTAGTTGATCCAATCACATATTCTCCCAAGTAACATCATAAGAGTTGTATGGCAAACGGTAAGAGGAATTACGAATGACACATTGGGAGTCGAAGGGTTAAGAATACACGGCACCAATAAAACAAAAACGAATTTATGTTCTCTGGTTAACATCTGTTTTGGACCCGTCTCAGAGTCATTTTAGCCCGATTCGAGTAGTATAGGGGGTCTGTAGGACTGGCATGAAAGTGAGGCTTTAAGAAAAAAGTGGTCACGCAAGCTACCAATGTCACACGCAAGGAGAGGACAGCATGCGACAGGAAAAAATGTTTTCCTACACGCGTTTGTGTGGTAAGTAACTCATGGCGGCGGGAGATATTATCAGCATGCTTTTTTCTATAAATAAAATGGTATGAGTAGATGTCTATCATTTTACGATGGATCGTCTTCGATTTTGGCGGAAAGAGTTATCAATTCATCTATTATTCGTTTGACGGGAAAACACGTTATACGTCTGAAGTGCCTAACCATCACTCAAAATGTCTGATGGGTTCTTCCAAGACGTTTCAATTCAGTCATTGTCGTTATACCGCTGAATCTGTCTTGTCAATGATGTGTTGTCCAAAATGTAAATATGCAGCTGTATCTGTTTACACACGAGTTTCGCTTTATTGAGATAGGAAAAAGATACGTTCGTGTGGGCATGATTTTGAAGAGGTCATGCATGCGTATGACAATTGGAAGAGGAAGAGGAAAGATGTGACAGATTTGATCGGTCAAATAGAAGCGTTGATGCTGGTCAAATATTCTCCTCGATGGTATAATATTGTGGAAAGAAACAGGAGACACACATTGGACAACTAGTTGTGTATGTGTCAAGACATGGCGGGACCTTCTTGTATGAAAAAAATTCGTCGCTTGAAAGAAAGATCCGTTTGCAAGCTTCGGAGCATGCTCAAGACATTGAAAAATACAAAGCTAAGATTGACGAGATAAAGTTACGCGAGAGACATCGTGAACTTGTATTTTATGCGGCTTTAAATCATATTCACGAGCCGTTAGGGATGAGAAATGGATGGGTCTGTGGCGATACTTGGGATAAAGAAATCGCGGCTGGTTTGGATTCTACATGATAAAGTAGCTTTACTGAAAGCAGGATGTCAGAAATTTGTCCAAGAATTCAAGGACATTTCCCAGTTTGACCCTGACGAAAAATGTATTTCGATTGCCTCAGCTTGTAACCGGTATTGGCGAAAATGTCATCTCTCACCTGAGACCGTAGCCGTAGAACCTCCTCGTGGTTGGAAAGGCGCCAGAGTCAACCAATCAAGAGTAGCCTTAGAATGGTTATTGTGGTGTGAGCATCAGTTGCCCTCATCGTCTTGTGATATACCTCGTATTCAGCGCGTACGTAATGATGGAGAACAACGGGTTTCAGAACACACACCTGACATCCTGCTTTCAGTAAAGCTACATCCGACTTGCAGTAAGCAATCAATTCTTCTTTCAAATTAAAGTTCACTTCTTCTTGAAGTTGGGTGGCGTACCAGGTTTCAAATTCTTGTCTTTTCTTGGCTGACATGCCTTCTGGATCATAGTACGCTATGTCTAGGATAGGTCCTACATACTCTTGATGGTCTTGCATATTGAAAAGATGAGGAAAGAACCCCTTTTTTTCCATTCAGAAATACCAAAGGTGGTAGAAAAAGAAGAGAGCCACAGGTAAGAAACAAAGCGAACCTTTAAAAAAAATAGGCCCCACTCAAAACGGAAGGGCTTTGGTACCGGTTTTCACCATGTCTTCCGTACGTCTTCCTTCTTTTTGCAGTTGATGTTGTAAAAACACCGAACCGTACCCTTTCACCGTCAATTCGGTGAGAAAGGCTAAGAAATCTGCCGTACAATCTGACCTATAGAAAGAACGAATAGTATCGGAGAGAGTCGTGGCAGCACACACGAGAGTAGGTAGATGTATTTTGCGCCAAATCGTATTTACCCTAATTGACAGATGTTATCCTACATGTCAACCCCAATAGACATCTGTCACATCATAGGGATGGGGAAAGGGGAGGGGGGTATGGGTATGTAATTCATGACGTCACTCTATATTATAAAATGAAGTAAGACTGCGAATTCGTCCTCATTGATTATCATAGTATTACCAAGTGAACAAGAAGACAAGAGAGAGCAATACTGTCACGCTGTCACGCTATAGAGTAAGTCTGTATTTGATCTGTGTCTGTGTCTGTGACCTTGATAACAATTTGTCTTTTTTTAAAGATGCCTCCTGTACGACGATCAAGACGTTTAGCTCAACAACAGGTGGAAGTGGATGATACGCCCTACGCCTGTTTTTCATGATCGATGTGACGATGCGTGGTGCAAAACCGACTTTATGTTGTAGTCGACGAATTCACCTTACCTGTCGTCAACATCATGTGAACTCGCACGATTGTTATGGAAATTGTCGAACCCCTTTTGCTGCTACCAATCCTGTCCGTGTACCTGATAGAGAACAACAGGAAGCCTGGAAGCCTTGTTGGAACCAGGCGCTATTGAAGACCGAATTACTCAAGTAGGTGTATTAGGTGTTTCTTCTGATCTTTAAGTATCATTCGCTCAAGTGTCACCTGGAATGTATGAATATCACCTCACTCTAAGAATGAAAATTTTTTATTTTTTGAGGATGAAGATATTGATGAAATGGTTTGGTGTCCTATTTGCAGTTGTGGGTAGCTGGTTTCTTAGTTGATTGAAGAACAGGTCGATTATTGTTGTGAACGTGTGACTCCATTAAATCTGCCTATTTACTTCTGACTCTGATCGTAATTTTTTTATTTTTAACTTTCAGTACATGCAAAATTTTCCCGATTCCATGCCCTATATGATGCTACGTATTTATACTTTTGAACCTCACTTCAATTTACCTACAAAACGGTATTCGCTAATAACTTCCATGAAACATATATTATTACAAAATGATATTGAAGAAATGCATCAATTGTGTTATTATAGCATCTTTTGTAAATATAGTTTAGAGGCTATTTCATATTTATTTTTTTCCACTTTCCATGTTTGATTTTTTTTGTTTCGAATTTTAGATGATTATAATGACTATCTAAGACTATGACCCACTTTTTCTATTCATCTTTAGATGCCTGATCTCTTAGAAGCCACCTATTTTATACTAGAACATGATTTCATGTATAATTACATGCTACAATTAATCGATGATGTGCGAACCGCCATGACATATCGCAACATTTCACATGACGATCTCATTCTCGTTGAAATTTATAAACATTTTGAATTTGATGGATATTTTAATGCCTGGTTTGAACACAGTTAACCTGAGAATACACGATCATTATTTCGTGGCAGACAATTTCCGTTTGCTTCATTTTTAAGACACTTTTCTAATGCTTCTCTATTTTTTCCTTTCGTAAGATTCAAATTACAACATCCTGTTATTTCTAGTCGAGAAACACTTCGGTATACCAATAGCATTTATCATATTCGTCACTTTTTCTTACACGCGGCTTAATTTTTTATGAGATCAGATCCTACACGCCTGAAAATGATTTACGAGATGTTTTGTTATGCACTGAATCATCGATTTGTCAAGAATGCCATTCAAAGTCTCATCTACGCTAAAAAGTTACACTTACATCAAAATATTTTTTTATTATTAGTACATGTCAAATTTTGTGATGAGTTTCAAAACAATTTTTAGAAACCTGTGATACAAATCCTGAAACCGCCTTTCGTGATTTAGGTTTTGTTCATCTAGTATCACCTACCATGAATGAGTTTCTTGGATTATATTCACAATATCATCGAGGAATGCGATGTTATTCTCATGTAAACTTTTTTATGGAAGTACGGTTATTTGCCGTCATCAATATAAATAATTTTTCCTTTTAGATCAGTACTAGAGAACGTCATGCTATTCACCAATATTATTTTGTATTTTATTGAAGATAAGAAGGAGAGGCATGAATCTAGCCTTTCAATTTAATAAGGTACAGTTTTATATCAAAGTGAATCGTGTCTATGCTTTAAACGAATTGTTTCACTGTTTTTTTCATGATGATGTAAGATTATCTTTAGAATATAACACGATATTAGAATTCATTTTACATGTAACTAATGTAGTAACCATTTGTACTTTGACTTTTTTAGATGAATATAAACCACTTTACCACCCTGAGGAAATTGGAGATCTTTACGCATTATTCCGTTTGACTGTAACTGAATTAAGAACAGAAGGATTCAATCTAGCTTTTCAATTTGAAAATATCGATTTTCTAAGAAATGTACTTCGTGTGTATGATTCGTATACATGGTTTCGTTGCTTTCAAGAAGATAGACATAGACGCACCGAGTATTATTGGCTAACTACCACTTTTTTACTTGTAGGCAAAACAGTAACGATCTTCACTTTTTAATTTTTCTAGATCGAACATTTCCAGTATGAACCCGATGAAGTGAAAGATATTTACACATCATTTCATTTGATTTTACGTTATTTACCATCAAAAGACATGAACTTAGTGATTCAATTTGATGATGAAATGTTTTATATGTCAGTAAATAGTGTCTATACTTTGAGCGAACACTTTCACTGTTTAACCTTTTCAAATGATGAAGAAATACAGATAATGGAATATCGTGGATCAGACACAAAATTTTTTACCTACGGGTGGTACCATAAGAATTTACACGAGTGATTAATTTTTATTTTTCAGATTGAATTTCCCGTAGAAGATTTTAGTCAATCCTTTTATGCGTTACATGCATTTTTAATGAGTGAACATGGAGACCTCTATTTACTGTTTATCAATGTCAACTTTTCACTTATATCAATGCTTGTAAAATTGATCTTTCTATAATTCATTGTGGATTTACTAATTATGAAAACCCACCCGTGATTGAAAATGCAGATTGGTTAATCACATTTAATAATAGACATATACATCATTCCATCATTCATTTTATTCGACACATATATAACTTTTTTCAATTGTATACAACTACAAAAAAGTATAATAAATCATGTTTTGAAAAATCCTAATAGTCTTTATCATGATATTTAGAATCCAAACCAGCCGCGATTTCTTTATCGGGTATCAGCGGCCATCCCGAGGGGTCGACCCCCGGGCACCCAGGGGCATTTGTCACAGCTGCCGTGACAATTACATGCTAAAGCCCCTCGGGTAGGGCAAAAAATTGGGACAAATACCCCCACCCCTGGAGCAACCTGGGCAACATATAGTCGGTGTTGCCTGTTCCTCGATGCAAAAGTACGAGTGATCATGGTTTACTGAAGCCACATCAGCACTAAAATCCACATAAGTCTCTATGGAGTCCTCAAATTCGAGCTTTCTGGGGCAAACTTTCTTGGCTTGCGGTTGTTCATCACACTGTCTCTTCCTATCGGCAAGACGCTTCGAATGCGAACTAACCGTATGAAATTGAAATCTCGATGTCGCTTTCCTTAAAATGCAATGAACAGATTCTTGGATCGCCGAGTGTCTTGAATTTTTTATCCGCTCGCTAACAGAAAACCTCCCACTTCTTACGCTCATTGGGCCTTGTAGGAAAGCAAAAATAACTGAGATCAGGTCGTTTCTTACTCCCATTACGGCACAGAGCAACAGCACAATACTTGACCATGGTACACAGGAAAATAAACTGCAAAGGACAAATAAAAGACGCCAAGATTTTCCGATTTGTCAAACGCACATAGCTTTCCTTGCAGTGTTTGAGACAGCAGATTACGTGCAAATCCCGTGGGTATGGCCCCGGGGTATTTTGCTAAAAAATATTATACCATCGAGGCGAATATTTGACCACTATCAACGCTTCCATTTGACCGATCAAATCTGTCACATCTTTCCTCGGATTCCTCCAATTGTCATAGGCATGCATGGCCTCTTCAAAATCATGCCCACACGCACGTATCTTTTTTCCTATCTCAATAAAGTGAAACTCGTGTGTAAACAGACACAGTTGCATGTTTACATTTTGGACACCACATCACTGACAAGACAGATTCAGCGGTGTAAGGGCAATGACTAAATTGAAACGTCTTGGAAGAACCCATTAAAAATTTTGAGTGATGGTGAGGCACTTCAGACGTATAACGTGTTTTCTCGTCAAACGAATAATAAATGAATTGATAACTCAGCGGAGAAAGAGACGATTGTTTGCGCCAATTTCGAAGACGATCCATCATAAAATGATAGACATCTAATCGTACTATTTTGTTTATAGAAAAAAAGCATGCTGATAATATCTCCCGCCGACATGAGTTACTTACCACACAAACGCGTTCAGGAAAACATTTTTTCCTGTCGCATGCTGTCCTCTCCTGGCGCGTGACATTGGTAGTTTGCGTGACCACTTTTTTCTTAGAGCTTCACTTTCATGCCAGTCCTACAGACCCCCTATACTAGTTATACTACTGATTCGAGGATTAGGCGAGGCGAGGATTAACTCGACTCATAGAGAGACCCAAAAATTGAATGTAGCCCAGGAACATCAACTATATTACTATTATTATCACACGAGAGGGCATTGAGAAAAATAAGAACTAAAAAAGAATGACAAATTAGTCTGAACAACCACGCGAGCATGCGAGCGGGCCTAAGTACATTTTAGCACAAAAATATCCATTGTAGCCCGCAAAATGCGCCACAAAGTGATAGCGATGGAAATAAAGGCACGATACGTTTTCTATGTGTCTCAATACGAGTCCGTAGATTCTTAACACAATTCTTTGAAACGATGCGGCCTTTTAAAATTTGGCGTTGGTTTTTTTGCGCGCGGTGACGTTACAATTATATTTAAACTTGGAAATGAATGCGAAACTCACCATAATCGAGCCAAT